GTTCAGCAATCTATTCCCCAGTACTCATGCTGACCTCAATCTAATACAGAATTTATACTTATGCAGCACATGAGAAAAACATCTGCAGTAGATTCTAATTTTTGCACAACTTGACAAATCTACACATCAACTCAATTAGGAAGACTTCCCTGGGACTAAAATAAATTTTTAAAATTTGAAGAAAGTATAGTTTCAAGTGAAGAAACTGTACTGTGAAGCAAATAATTTAAACCAGGTTTAGGCTGGCTGTTTTCAGATGACAGAAAAGCTTCAGTGGTACAACTTCTTGCTGCCTATTGCCAGTCCTCAATACGCAACAGAAATGCTTGGGCTGCACTGCATTTTCTCCATCACTTCCCAGAAATGCTGTCACCATGAGGCTGCATGCTTCTGCACTACTTACATGAACAAAAAAGATAAATGATAACTCTAAACTGGTAAACACAACCTCCATCCCAAAATATCCACCATAAAGACAGCAGCAAACCTTGCAATAAAAGAGTTCACCATAGTAGACATTCCCCAAAGTCTGCCTCCGCTTCCGGGATATCTCCAGGATGATGAAAAACACAAAGGGGATAGGGGAGAACTTATTCTCACAAATACACATTAAACAATCCTTGGGGTAGGGAAGTGGTTCATTCCTAGACCCTGTCTCTCTCAAAAGTGGGACACATCAGGACTTTGTAGTCTTAAGTAACAACCACAGCAGACACCCTCAATCCCAGGGAACTGTGCGCACTAGCAGCAAAAAAAAGAAATTTCCCTACTCGTACATAATCATAAGTGACTTTGTGTTTAATTTTATTTCTATCACATAGCTCCCTTCACTGAGAAAAACAGTACTAGAAACAAATATGCCCTGGAAAACGCAGCAAGCGGAGCCAGTGACTCAGGCTGGCAGCAGTACAGTCAGGAGACAGACAGAAGGACTGATTTCCCCTCTGACACTCCCCCCTCAACTTCCTTAACTCCGTATTAAAAGCAAAATACTTAAATCACAGGAAGAAGGAAACAGCAGTGCTGTTATAGACTTGAACTATCATAACAATATCAAATCCAGTAGTAAAGAAGTTTCATGGCTCTTCTACAAGAAAGGGAACATATCGCCATCAGGAAAGAAGCTACTGTAGCCCTTCTGTTGGAGTTTGTTCTTTAGTTCTAGCCAGCAAAAATAGCAGAAAATATCTGTATGTTTCTATCATAATTGTTTTGTTGTTATTCATAAGCAAAACCAAATCATTACATTTCCCAATCTACTTTTTTACTACCTTTAATATCATAGTATTTAACATAATGATGACAAAAAGAAACACTTGCTATAAGTTGTCCTGGTACTGCTGAGACTACAGTCTAAAAACTAGTTAAGACAAAACACTAAAAACCATACACAGGAAATTAATCAAATGGCAAAAGAGTGACTAAATCGCTTAGAAACGTTGAATCAACATATTAGCAGTCAGTAACAACACTGGTACAGGTGTGTTTATCAGTTCAGCTCATCCATTAAGAATTTCTGAATTCATGTTGAGCAATGGCTTATCACGAAACAGACTGCACACGTATGATATGGCAAATCATGATTTATACCCCAACTACATGACTTGCTATAAAGCTTGAGATAATACACTAGCTTTGTAAACACTACAGAATCCGTGATTCTTTGCAGAAACTATGAAAAAAGAACATTAGCCTTCAGTAAAAACATGTTTCTTCCTAATGCTTTGTTCCAGTTGTGAAACTGTCCCACACCAAATTGCATATTACTTTAAAAGTGAGCAAGACAAATAAGAATGTTCTTACAGAATATGCTGTCAGTGGCCATTTGCTACTGCAACTTAACATCCGACTGTTCTTCGGATATAATTAACAGCCTCACATACACATAAGCACACATTTACATAGGTAATGCACATGTCTCATACTGTCTGGACAGAAAAAAGTTATATGAACCCTACAGTTTTAATTCCAAACTTCATAAAAGCAAATAGCCACAAGGTTCAAATGAAAGGTCAAAGGGAGAACAAGCAGGAAAATATCTGGATTTCTGTTGTGCTGACACCCACAACATTAGCTCAAAAAAACCCAAAATAAAGGCACATTTCTTACCTTCACCTACCATAGAAACACCTATTGACATGCCCATAAACTTGCTTTTGGTCCATACGTGAGCGTTCACACACATTTTCTTCTCTTTGCACTCACAGTAAAAGCAAGATACCGGTGGGTGATGGGATACTTGTTCAGCTACAAACCTCAGCTTGTAGCACGCGGACTGGTCCTGGCCAGACTCCTTGGTTGGGTCCTTAGAAACCGCAGAGGCACCATTAGTTCTGAATGCTTTCACTTTATCTTTAGGCACATCCCACGAGCAGTGAAACGTTTCACCAATTATAGGGTTATAGGGCTTCTTGGCAACCGCTCCCTTTCGGCCTTCGTGAAAAGCTGTTAGATAATACTCCACAAAGCAGATAATTCTTTCCTCAGGAGTGGCTCCAGCTGCAATTGACAAAAACAGGTCTGGATGGGCCATGAAATTTGCATACATCTCCAGCAGGGATCTTTTCTCCAAAATAAATGTTGGAAGCACTACCTGTATGCAAAGCAGACAAAGGTAGATATGATTTCCCCATGATCATACTACCGCGAGGGAAGGGGGGGGGAGAACAGTTAAGACAGCTGCAATTCTAGCCCTGCCAAGTTCTGGGACAGCATATTTACCTCCCCTTTGCCACAGCAATTTCATTTTCTTTGCAGCGTAAATCATGAGTGAAGGAAAAAGCAGCAGCCTTGGTAGCCATGCAGGCTGCTTCCTATTTCATTATGATTCTCAACAGCAGCTCACACAACAGGGATGGGCTGTTCCGCTCACATGGAAATCTGCCTTTTCCTCTCCTCTCAGTTAACAAACCAACTATTGTTCTCCTTGTTTACAGGACATAAAAACATACTTTGATGTAAATTCATTTACATCAAACATCAACAAACCAAATGGATCATAAACCTCCAAAAAGGGAGGGGCACACCCTCCCAAATGACTAAAAGATTAATATTTTATATAAACATACACATCACCAACCTGTAAGTGGTGAAGTGTAAGGTGAACATCTACCCATTCTGTCAAGCATCTGGGCTTCCCATTTCACTCCTGGCCCTTGACCACCCAATGCATCCATATTAGGTCTCTACCAGACTCTAACAAACCAAGCCAACTAGATCCAACCAAAACCAAATCTTGGGTGTGTTTCCAAGAGTTGCCAAGGGCAAGAAAATGCTCCCGGATTGACCACCTCTGCCCTATACTCTAATCATATGTCTCATGTCTCCTTCCACCTCCCAAGTCAAATCCCTTGCCACCTCCACGCTATCCTGTCACCCCCAGGTACACGGCATGTCCCCTCAGTTTGAGATCATACCATACTACTGTAGTGGGCCCCTGCATGCCTTCACCTTATTTCAGACAATTTGAAACAAATAAAAACTGCACAAACTGTTACATTTATGTCCTGGGACTAAAGAGGCTACAGGGGGCCCAGAAAAAATCTGGGACGGAGCACTAGACAGCCTGTGCTGGAAGGAGCCAGCCCTGAGCGATTCGGATGCAGCCTCGAGTGGCTCATCCAGCAATGCTGATGTTGCCAAAGTCACCCACTGAGGAATAACACTTTGTGAAACGTTTTCAGTGAAACACCCTAGAGTGCACTGCAAGACAGAGAAGGGCTACGGGCCCTAAAGTAATTTCTTTCTCTCCATTCTTTCTCCCTCACCCTCCACACCTTGTTCACGACCATCCCAGGGGAGCTCAAAGGTGTCTCCTGCACGACTAACAGAGAACTTCTGGCACACACAGATTTGTCTAGAATCAAAGTGGTTCAATGACACCAGATGCAGACCAACAGCTGTCCTCTATTAAAGCAAGTTTTCTGCCTTCCTCTTTAATTCTTCATTGCATTTACTTTTTCCCTTTCCCAAAAGCAAGGGTTTCTTACTGCAGGCAGGGAGCCACCATTCAAACATAAACACATTTGCTTTCCCCTCTGCCGCCCCAGCTTGCAATCTAAGTGGGACCAAAGCAAAGTTCAGTGCTTTTGGATCCCATGGATAACAAAATAGAAGCTGTCAAACTTATATTCATCATTCAGCTCTTTTCAAAGAAAACTTGTAAACATGAAAAAAAATTCCAGTCACAAGGGCTCAAACTCAGCCTTAGCAGTTACATAGTAAGTGAACACACCACAACTGCAAAAACCACAGATCACCACTCCATTTGGTAACATACACGCTCATTCTCTCTCCTTCTCTACCTTATTTACACACATACAGTCTTTTATAGGCTAGTAATTTTTACAAGTTCAGCTATGAATCAAGCAAAGTTCCATCTGTAATACTGCTCTGAATCTACTCTGTGAGCCTTAAGAACTCTACATGGTCTCTGTTACTCACCTAATGAGACCCCAAAAGATGCAGGACCTTAATTTTAACACTCTGTGTGGCAAACAATGACAGCCTACAGTCCCTATGGTGGTGTGGTAGCAAGGGGCTGAGGAGATTGGTTTTTAGAAGTGAGAACTAAAACTTTAGAAGGCAAAATGCAAAGTAGGAGATTTTCTTACAGTATTTATAGCCATATACTGAATTAAACAATTCTGTCTTACTTTCAACATTCTCATTCTGACCAAATACTCATTATCCAATATAATCTTAAAAAAATGCAATTCAGCATTAGTGAACCTCCATACAGGGTTCCATTTTAATATAAACTGTACACTCAAAAGACCAGGTTATCAAGGAAGAAAGCTGACAGCAAAACACAGGAAAAAAAACCCCATCACTCGTGTCTAGAAATACTAGTAGTGACTGTAATATAGAGTTCACTGCAGAGACCTTAAAGAGCAAACTCATTTGGACAAATAGCACTCTGCATCTTCTTATATGCAAGTGCATCTCTAAAAAGAGTGACCTTTATTAGCACAAATGGAGGAGAAGAAAACTAGAGACCATACTTAGGACGATGCAAATTTTATGGTACAACATTAAGACTGCTATGGTTTCATCCTGTCAACTTGATCATACAGTTCTCATATCCACTCTCACAAATATCAGCTGTGTGCTTTGCAGCTACATATGTAATACAGCTGCACCAACACAGCCCCTGAATGAGATGTTAAGAATCACTGGACTCTCACTCAGTTTCAAGAATCAATTTAAAATCTGAATAAAGCTTGAACTCCAGCTCAAATGATCTTGCTTTAAAAGCCCAACTAAAATGGGCACTACATCCTTCGTTGTAGCAGGAAAGGCTCCACTGCAAAACAGAGAGTAATTGAATTGTTTTCACAAAAGGAGGCAGAACTATGTATGAAAAATATTTGGGGTTTTAAAGCTTATACAACTCCAATACAACAAAATATGCCTAGGAAACACTGCCTTTTACTAAATAATCTCATAGCCTCAAAGTTTCAATATGCAACACCACCACACACTAACATAGTTAAAAAATAATAATAATAATTTAAAAAAAAATTACACCAGTCAATATTTTTTTAATTGGCTCTATCTTGATTTCTGCAGAAACAGGTAAAATAGAAATAAACAAATCTGGAAGCATACAGCATTCTTCTTGCCGGCACTGGACTGTCATGCACCCGTGCTAGTACTCTAACTTCAAAAGGAATGAGGCGTTCAGCTCTTCTGCAGTCAAACAGGATGCACTGTCCAGAAAAACACACTCAGGACTTATGTTCTTTATACCGGTTTTGGACTACAACTTTTTTTTTTGGTAGTTGTATAAAATGTCAAAACTGCCTGATTTTTTTAGTCTGAGAAAAAGCCAGCATGACAATCAAATGGACAAAAGAATCTCTCTAGAATAAACAGCAACTCGCTGAAGAACTGAAATCTCCCGATTGCATTCTAAAATGCTAGAATAATCTCTGCTCTTACTCCTCCTCATGCGCCATGTGAAGAGGAAGCAGTTTAACAGGTATTCTTCCATGTTCACTGAGGTCAAAAAGAGGGTATTGGTTCAAAGCTTGATCATGATCTCTTAGGTTTTAATTCACCTATACTTAATTAGATCTGAATGCACATGGGAAAAGAGCATGACTTCTTAAGAACCAAGATACTTATCTCCACTACCATTTACTGTGAGGCAAAACATGGGTGCTGGCACCACTCCCTACTTTTTTCAGTCAGAAAATCTGACTGAAGGTCAGAAATCTGACCAAGGTACCCCATGCTGAGGTGTCCCTCTCTTAGAGGCAGAAATGCTTTCCACTATCATCTGTGTCATTGTGGGAGTAAGACGAGCTATTTTCATCCCGCTTATATTTTAAAATTACAAGGTAAAAGTATATTAACAAGCAAATTAAAATCTACAACACGGTGAGCGTACTACAATGTTAATTTACAACAGGTGGATATGCTGCAGAATTACTGGCAGCCCTTTTACACAGAATGGCAGGCCCTTATTTTTAGCACATTTTAACTGCGTAGGGAAGGTAAAGAAATGCGGGGGAGTGATCACCCATCTGTACAAACAGTCAGCATTAATTTCAACCCGTTAGATGTCATTTGCTAACATATTTATCAGGCTGTCAGTGATTTTTGGTGTTATTTTTCATTTTTAAAAGTCCAAAGAACAAATAATTTAGAAACATTTTTTCCCTAGCAATTCCAATTTAAACAAGATTTAGAGTCCTAGCCCAGTCCAAGGTGTCAGTGTTATACTATGTTCTCCTACTGCAAACTGCTCTCCTACCCAAGTCTCTCCAGCAGCTCTTGAAGTCAATTTGGCCACCACAGAGCCTAGCCCATTCTCACAAATCCCCATGCACATTTACTACTTCATTGTGGATGTTTTCCTTCACAGTAGATTTTTAGTGTTTAACTCCTCATTAAATGGCATGGCAGCACGACACATTTCAAAAGTGAAGCACCTGAGCAACATTAAATGTGGCCATCATCCCTGTGGGAAACTGATGTCAGCGCAGGCAAGGCCAACACTAACATAAGCAAGTACCCTGTAGGAAAAGGAAAAGATGCTGTTTCCTCTGATATGGTACATGATGGTAATGATTGTGCATCCACAACCAAAGGCTCAGAAGAGCTGTTTGTTCATGTCTATACCACGTTACAATCCATAACTCACAAAATGAGCCAAAGAAACAACGCTAGGGAAAAAGGCACAGGAAAATGGAAACATCTAAAACATCCTCTGATATCAGCAACTACTGTGCCACAACCACTTCCAGAAGAAGCTGACTAGCATCAACGCTGCCAGAAATCTGACTTTCAGAGGAATAATGAAAAATGAGAAGAGGTGCAGCCAACAAACCAAGCTTTATCGTCACACGTCTGTCACCCTAAGGGCCTCATGTCAGGAAGCAAAGTTAATAAAAAGGCAGCCAGCTGTCTTGTAATTTATTTTTTTTTTTTTAATCCTCAAAATGGTCAGAAAAGCGATGTGCACATGTGGCGTGTCTCATTAATACTCTTCATATGTGTATTCATGCATCACACAGACTAGAGATAGCTCTAACTCCGCCATATGCGTGTTCTTCTCTTCAGACTGTATTATATACACACATTAATGCATGCTAGTATTTTGCATGCTATAGATCTAGTAATATTCACCACCATCCTCAAAAACTCTGCTCTAAGAACACTACGTAAGAAATAGGTTATCATATATATTTACTTTCCTACCTTTCTTGTAAGTGTCTACACTTCTCTTACTTACAGGAATTTCTCTTATTTATATTAACTGTGTGGTTTTGGTTTGGGTTTTGCCTCCTATGCTGTGACAAAAAGATGACACTGGAAAGCAGGGAAGAAAACTCTTGTTGATTACCAAAGACAAACTGGTTTGCAGACACAAGAACAACAGATAAGGAACCTTAGTCTAGTTTAAACATTATGAACTGAGACAGCCTTAGCAAACCAACATAGAAAAGAAGAAGAGCTATAAAAAATTGAGGAATCTAAGAAAAAGAAAACCAAAAATGAACTGTGCATAACCCCAGACATACTAAGAAGTGACAGGTATAAACTATTCACAAATGAAAATATGAAACTTTTGTTCTATTTAGAACAAAACATTAATTTCTGTGCTGCTATTCAATAGCTATACTTTGCAACACACCATGGGATTGCTCAGTCTTAAAAATGTAAGTATTTTTAAATACTATCAGTTGTTCCAGAGGAAGGAGAAAAGACTACTGAGAAAGTCTTATTTTATAAGAAAGTGATAGTAAAAATATATTTTGATTAATATGTAAGTTCAAAAGGAAAGCAGATGAACTCTTCAGAACACCACAATATCCATGAGAAGAATCTCCTGCATAGCTACTTCATATGCAAATGTAATTCTGTAGTCATTCCAAACTTCTTTTATGTGCAGAGGGAGTAAGTCAGACTAAGCTCTTATTTCTGGGAAATGGGTTATAGAGGTTTTATTTGCCTTTTTTTTTTTTTTTTTTTTTTAAGTAGAAAACCTTTGTAGAAGGAAAGGGTATTCCATATCGTTACAAAAATCCACTTGATTATCAAGTGCCATGAAAAGATTACTAAATCCCTGGTATGTAGGGCTATTCAAAGATAGGCATTCCCTCCTTCCAGAACATCTACCTTATTTCTAAAATTCTAAGAACTTACGGGAAATTTCTCAGACATCATAACTTCTCTGATCATATCTGTACGGATGAGCTCATAACAATACCAGTTCCAGGACCAGAAGGATGCACAGAAGGTTAAACTGGTGAGCCGCTTAGTACAGACTCGAAGAGTGATACACTGAAGACTGTCATTTCTTTACCATCACGGTTTTGAAGCTCCAAAGTAATTAAATGGAATACAATCCACAAAGCAGTAACTTGAGCAGATATAACCTTCATCCATAAAACTGACAGTATGGTTCCTCAAACACTTGGTGCACCCTGACTTAACATAAATGTAGGACACATACACAACGCAGGGTTGCTTTGAAAGACTTACAACAAAATAAGGGAGGAGTCTCAGGGGTTTTTTCTTCTTCTTTTTTCTTTCCTTTTCCCCCCATCCCTAAAATATCTGATGTGGTCATTTCATGTGAATGTCTGCCTAGCAGGAGACAACACTCCATAGCTCTCTGGAACTACACCTTTACAAAGAGGCAAACTTTATTGTCCACGGGGGCAAAACATGCTCACAGGAATCACGCACATGCACACACACAGAAGGATGAGAAGAAAAAAGAACAATGATAAAAGAGATACAGTGTCCGTACCCTGGTAAGGTCCATGCCAAGTTTGAGCTGAGAGATGAGATGGAGAATCACACTACGTTGATCATCCATGACTCCTAAATCCTCCTCTTCATTATCTTCTGTATCTGTTATTTCATCTTCAACTAGGATCAACTCAGAAGCTGAATGCTGAAATAAAAAGAAACATCACCGTCTGGACAAAAGATACAATACCATTTTTTCCCCACTATATATGTTTAAAAATGGAGCTGTCACAGCAGAACCAAAGACGGCCTATGTTAAAACCAAGAAAAGATACAAATTTAAAATAAAAAAAATCCAGTGATGGGCTCATAGAGCATTTTGATCCTATCCTCAGAACAAGAGTGGTAAGGATCAGATGCTAATTTACACATTATCTTCTCATATTTATATTGCAGTGATGCCAGACAAAAACCACAGCATATTAAAGTAACAGATCTTCTACTATTAAATAGAAGTACACAGTTGAAAAATGAGTCTTCAAGAGTTTCTTTCATAAATCTCTCCAGTAAATAATCATATGTCACACCTACATGTTGCATGAGCTGATTTCCCACTATTTTTCTCCATTCCTCTATCTAACTTCGAAGTTAGATATCTAAGAAAGTCAAGACTATTAACTGAAGGAGATAAAAAGACAACTATAATTAAAGTACACACCTCCAGAAAAAAAACAAACAAAAAAACCCCATAGCCATTATATTTTGGGAGACAAGGCAATGCCATGAGTCTTTACAACATCTGCTTCACAGCACAATAATGCCAATACTGCCCAGTTTGCAGATATACTAGCTGAAGATCAAGAGAGACATTATACCATCTCCTTTCAAGAGGAACTTTAGAGCACAAAAGGATAATGATTTGTGACACTTTATTTTCTCTCAGGGTTTACAATACATTACTAACAATAATCCAAGGAGGTGGTAGTTATTTTCTTCAGTTCATTGAAAACACCCTTGAAGCCTTCCATATATATATATTCAGGTAAGTTTTTTATACTTAAAAAAAAAAAATTAAAAATTGGTTCATATATGTAGTTGAAAAATTTACAGCCCAGCATTTCATTATTCCCCAAAGTTTCCATGCTGTAAATGAGACAACACTACCTGCAAAAGTTAGCTTCCTTCACACTAAACAGCAGTTTTGCTGAAACAGCTAGTTCGTTACATAAAACAGGAAATTTTTCATCTCACTGTGAAAGTCTTTGCAACTGAAAAGTTTCATTAAAATCAGCTGATACTTAGAATGAGGTTTCAGTATTTCTGAACGACCACATCGGAGACCCCTCAGGTGAACAGCAGCTTGTGTAAGAAGAGTGTCTCTGGAATTTAGTTACTACAGATGTTTCCAAGATTTGAATGAAGTGTTTTCTCTTTCTCTCTTTTCTTTTCTTTTTTTTTTTTTTTTGTTTTTGTTTTGTTTTGTTTTGTTTTGTTTTTAGTTAAATAAATGTTTAGGTAGCTGTTCCCAAAAGAATAGCTATTTTGTGAAATATAAGGACATTTGAAAGACACTTTACAATTACTTTATTTAGAAAGTAGAATACATACATTACATAAAACAGAACCTAGTGAGCTGTAACCTCAACAGCTTGGAGCTTTTCAAAAGGACAAAACCACACTTTCTTCTTCCCACTCCCTCAGAAAATAAAAGGATAGAACGGGAAGCCCTTTCCTCCCAAAATACACCAGCATTATTATCCGACTGATGCCTTACTGACAAGTTCAATTAACATAAAACCTGACAACCTTACACAAAATCACCAGTCAGGGAGACATAACGCACTGAAGCCTGGCTCAGCTGAACAGACTCCGATTCATTTGGAGGGAGCACAGAAAAAGCAGGATCAGAACTTACAGTAGATGCGTCCACAGGAGGTTTCCCTTTAATCCAGCTTGACCTCATTGAGAGCACTGAGCTACCGAATAAGCACTGCTGCTTCTGTTACTGCCATGAACCGCGCTCGCCGCGAGCGAGCTCCAGCAGGATTTTTTTCCAGGAAAAAGCACGGGAACCTCCCCTCCTCGCTCCCACCCCTGCTTTTTTTTTTGGCTATCTGACGAGTTGGAGAGTGTGTGCCGGATGTCAATCTGTCCCTCGCATTTCTAGTCACATGGCACTGAGAGCAGTGAGCTCCACTGCACACCGCTCCAACTGGGAAATGGTGCTGCTGCCTCCCAGAAGATACCCTGGTGGGCTGTCCTCCAGCCGGGGGGCAGGAGGGAGCGGGCACCAGCGTGCGGGAGAGAACACGTGGGCAGGTAACAAACTTTGCAGTGAACGTGAAACAGCTGCGTAACCTTCAGCTGTTAACAGCATCAGAAAACAAACAAACTGCACATTGAAAAGTGAACAGACTAAATCATATATTAAGAATTTTCTTTTTCTCCTCCAGACTGCACGTTCAGCCAGGGACAGAAATCCTTCTCTCTTTCCTGCTAAAACAGGTAGTGTGTTCTCCATCCCTTTCCAAGTGTTACTAACAAAACAGCAACAGTCTCTCATTGCTACTCCACGAAATGTGCACAGTGAGGACCAGCAACCTTATTAACAGTTTAGGTGCTCAGGAAAGTAGCGGTTGCACTGACTTCAATGAAAGACTTTCTATTCATCACAGAGGGCAAGTACAATGTAACATTAGGATCAGGCATGTTTATTTAATGATCATTCTGCAATAAGGACTATAATTTTAATTATATTAACTATTCTCTATTTTAAGAGCATGTGCAAAGGCACCAAAAATCCCACAACTCTACTGTTAGAGTTATCAACATACTAGTGACCTTCAACGTATGCAGAATGACATCAGTTGTTTGCAGTTTTTCTCACTTTCCAAGAAAACAGGATCTTAAGTAGCAGTCTACAATTTATGTCACAGGAACTGAACAGCAGTCATCTTCAGTAAGAAATATCCTTTCTGTATCTTCCTCTCTTCTCATTAGCTGTTCTAGGTAATTACTGAATTACTTTCTAAGAGCACAAAAATTAGACATCTCTTTTTTAACTAATGCATATTTTCTTTAAAAAGAACAACCATGTAAGCACAACACCGGGTGTGTTGACACAGAGCCACCAAGTACAAAGCTACTGTTACCTTTAAAGGGTCATAAAAGTCCAATCAGGTTTTTAATTCTTCGTTTCCACAGAAATAGTACGCAGTTCAGTAGTAACCAATGTGTAAGCATGCGGTAGCATGCAAAAGATTATGTTGAGTGATTATCCTTTAATAGCAGCTTTTCTGAATTGCCAAAGACATGCATATTTTGCCTGCCCTCCTGCAAAATGTAATTGCAAAGCTGAACTAGAAAACCAGTGATCTGCTCCATTCCTGTGCAGTCAGAACATAATCCAAAAGCTACTGAGTTGTGCGCAGCTCAGTCTGGGAATGAACAGCACAGGAAGGCTTGAGTGCTAGCCCTGAGAATCATATACTGCACCAGTTATAAACAAGCACCAAAAAGGGCTTCTATTTCAAACCATTTTTATCAAAATAAGTTTCCAACACTGGGCTGAAGCACCAGGATTTTTCAGAAAAATCTGAATGGAAAGCAACAGATCATTTCTTGAAATCCCATGATGGGATTCACTTCAAAGTTTAAAGGCTGAAGACATGAAAACACATACTGGCAGAGATCTATTTTAAACAGGTCACTTCATTAGAACTGGAATTGATTAATTTAGAGACGTCATCTGCTGGTCATACAAAACGGATGTTCTAGTCAGCAGTCTTCATCAGAAAACACGCTGGTTCTTTTTTAACAGACGAAACGCGTAAGGGAAAGAAATTGTTTCTGAAAGAAACATTCTGCGTTTTTTAAAAAATTGTCTTCAGGAAAAAGACACTTTAACAAGCCTGGGACAGAATCACAGAGTTAAAAGCTACATTCCTGCCAAAGTGCAAACCTCCCTCTGTTCTTCCACAGCCTCTTCCACAAGTTAACTTTTCAAATTAGCTGCTGTGCTGGAAATGAATTTTTAGATAATTAGCTCAGTTATAAGGCTCAGAACTTGGTTTTCCAACATATTTCGCAAATCATATCATGCAACAGCACTGTCAAGCACGACAGGGATCCCATCTTGTTTATTTTTTGGGAGGAAGAAAGGAATATACAGAATCACAGCATCATTTAGGTTGAAATGACCTCTCGAGATCATCCTGTTCCACACCTTGCTCAAGAAGGGACACCTAGAACCAGTTGCCAAAGACCAAGTCCAGCTAGGTTTTGAGTATCTCCAAGAATGCAGACTCCACAGTCTCTGTGGGCAACCTGAGCCAGTGTTCGACCATCTTCACAGCAAAAAAACATTTTCTGATGTTCAGATTGACTTTCATGTGCCCACTGCCTCTTGTCCTGTCACTAGGCACTACTGAGAAGAATGTGTCTCCCTGTTCTTCACTCCCTCCCTTTAGGTATTTATATACTTTGATAAGATCACCCCAAGCCTTTTCTTCTCCAGGCTGAACAGTCCCAGCTCTCTCAGCTTCTCCTCATGTGAAGGATGTTCCAGAACCTTCATCATCTTTGTGGACCTGTGCAGGACTCACTCCAGTAATTCCATGTCTCTCTTGCACTGGGGAGCCCAGCACTGCACACAGCCCCACAGATATGGCCTCACCTCTGCCAAGCTGAGGGGAATGATCATTCCCTCCACGTGCTGGCAACACTTTTCCTAAAGCAGCCCACAATGCTGCTGGCCATAAAGGTGCTGGCTCAGCTTGTTGTCCGCCAAGAACCCAAGGTCTACTTTCCAGTCAGTTGGCCCCCAGCCTGTACTGGTGCAGGGGCTTACCCTCAGATATCCCCAGATGCAGGACTCTCCATTTCCCTGTGTTGAACTTGATGAGATTCCTCTCTCTCCAGCCTGTCAAGGTCCCTGTTCCTCTCCATGGCAGTACAACCCCCTGGCTCATCAGCCATTCTTCCTAGTTTTTTTTATCACTTACAAACTTGCTGAGGGTGCACTCTGTCCCATCATCCAGGTCTTTGATTAAGGATGTTGAACTCTACTGGCCACAGTATTGATCCCCGGGGTACACCACTTAGTGACTGGCCTCCAACTGGACGTTCTACCACTGATCGTCTGGGCCTGGCTATTCAGACAGTTTTCAATCCACCTCATTGCCCACCTACCTAAGCCACTCCCTG